CCTGTCTTTTCTGTACAGGGCGCCGGTGAAGTTTCAAACCCTTCTCGCCTCCGTTTCATCGCCGAGTTGATCCACATCAACTCCAACTTCATCTCCTTTGTAAATGTGCCAACACCACCAAGTGTACACCACCATGTGTATGTGTGTTAACATTTTCACAATCATTTTCCAAAGGATTTAACCACTCAACTTGCCACGCCACTCGATCCTAGCGACGATGCAAAGTTAGATCACACAAGTGGCACTAGATGACCGATATGCAAACAAGTTTGCCCCTCTTGATAGTACAACCATCTATCCTAAACCCGATCATAAACTTCTCTACACACCTATGACCGGTGAAATGAAATGCCCTAGGTTATACCTTTGCCTTGCGCATTCCATTCTATCTCCTCCAATGTCGATGCAACACATGCACCAACATGATCAACAATGATATGACCCACTTCATATCATCACGTGATCATATTGGTTCATCGATCTTGACTTCACTTGCTTTTCATCGTTGCCTTCGTCCATCGATGCCAAGTCTTGCTCAAGCTTCACCGCCACGCGGTCCATCGCTCCAAAGCCTTCGACTTGCCCTTCACGCTTGCAACCGGTCCATCAAGCCAAGTTATGTCTTGATCTTCTCCACCTTGATCACATGACTTAATGTCATGTCTCATGTGCAATGAGCTCCTTCATCATCACATGTGTGAGCTTTGCAACATCTCCACACCATTTTCACCTTCATGGCATATGTTGCTCACACACATGTACTTGTGGACTAATCACCTGTGTATCTCACATAAACACAATTGGTCCACCTAGGTTGTCACTCAATTACCAAAACCACACAAGTACCTTTGATCGGCTTGCCGGAGTTGGCCATGCCGGCGGCGTCGGGCCTCGGTGGTGATGGTCGACTGGCGGATGGAGCTTGCGGGGTCACACCGCAGCCGGTGGCAGGATCTCCGAAGGCAGCGGGTGCCCACGGTGGTGGTGGCGGCTCGCCAGAGGGATCGTGGTGGCACCGTGCGGTGGACTCGACCCTTTAGACCCTATCCTAAACAAGTAACTACGTGTACGTGTGTGCGAGTGAGTGAGGTGTGTAGTGGTGGTGGTGGTGTGCCCTAGGGTGGCCTTGTCGGTGATGGCCGACAGCCATGGCGGCTTGGCAGAGCGGGGTGCACACGAGCAGCGCAACACATAGACCTAAGCTACCAACTAGCTACGGAAAACGGAAGAGGAGAAGCTTGGGGACTCACCGGTCACTCCAATCGGCCGATGTCGCAGCGGAGAAGGAGAAGAGGGGAGGTGGCGCTAATGGCGCCGAGGAACTCCTGAATTGGGGTTAAATGGGAGAAAGTGGAAAGGAAGAGGAGAAAGGGGAAGTGGACGGGGAGACAATGTGTTCCCGCCCTCGGCAGAGCTGATGGTGGAGAGGGTGAGGCGAGAGTGTCATCGGCCAGGCCTATTTATAGGGTGGCTAGACCGGTGTCCCGATGGCAAGATATGTCTCGTGGCCATGCTTATCCACCACGTGCTCACACGGTTGTCCTCGTCTGGTCACGTCACCATAGCTGGAGCTTGCCCATGCGCACGTCGAAGTGCCTTGGCGGCTACTCCGGTGGCTCGATGCGGAGGCGACCATGGCGCTAGTGTTAACGAGCTCACAGTGAGGGAGGAGAGGGAAGAGGAGGAGAAAGGAGGGGCGCCATGAGGTCCCATTGTCATCGTGTCACCGCTGACTTCCGCTGGCACCGGGGTGGCGCTGGCGGAGCGTTGACGCGCGGCGTTGTGCCGCATACGGCTACTGGCCTGAGGTCGACGACGAAGCTGATGGGTGGGGCCCAGGCGTCAGCGAGAAGGAGAGGGGAAGAGAGGAGCGCGGGCGAGGCTTGGGCTAGAGCTGGGCCGCGGTGCTGCTGGGTCAGCTCGCGCGGGAGAAGGGAGGGAAGGAGGGATGGAGGTGGGCTGCTGCTGCGGGCCGAAGAGATGGAGAGGGAGAGATTCAGCCCAAGTGATTTTTTCCATTTCCTAATTCCTTTTTCTTTTTCCCAGCTCAAGTATGAATATGTTTAAATGGTTTTTAAATTTAAATTTGAATGCATGAGTGTGCAAAAATGTACCACCATAAGTTCAACAAGCCAAGCAAACATTCACACATCAAGTTTCACACATCAAGTTTTATTTTCCTGTGTTAATTTATTTGTAAAAATTTCCTATGTTGGTTATATATGCTAGCTCCTATGCAATGTTTTAAAAAGTTTAAATTTTTAGTGATCTTTAAACTAGGTCCAATTTTAGGGTGTTATAGCCGCCGCCGCCTTCTCCTCGCCGGTCACCACCGTCGCGCTGCTGCTTTCTGCTCTTGCTGCCTTGATGGTGAAACTGCTGTCTTGTGCCTTCTCTTCCTCCTCTCATGGCGGGCTCAAGATGAGGCCCGTGCACCGGCCATGGAGGCCGGCCGGCGGGGAAGAACCCGTCCATTTCCGGCGAGCTCCAACCACGGAGGCCGTCGCTGCAAGCCGGGAGCAACGGATCTGCCCCCACCGGCCCTTCCTAGGCCGCTCAGAGACGGGGAACCGCCCCCTCCTCGGCCGAGGAGGAGACGAACCCGGCTCCGAGGGCGTTCCGGCGTAGGACCTGGTGGCGGTTGGCCGCCACGTCGGCGTAGGAGAGCGTGCGGGTCGGTGGAGGCACGGGCGGGAGGGCGACGTCGAGGTCGTAGGCGAAGCCGGCCGACCAAGCCTCCGCGTCGGCTCTACGGTTGGGGAACGGAGGGGCGCCACGGCGCGCGGCCATGGAGCCACCGCCTCTGTTCCATGGCAGTGCGAGCGCGGTCGACGGCAGCGGTGGTGGTGGTGGCAACAGTGACGTCGGCGGCCTCGACAACGTCGACGGCATTGGCGGCTTCTCCGACGGTGCCCCCACGTGCCCGACGCACATGGGCGGGCCATGCGTCGGGCAGACACCAGGGGCGAACTGGAGAGTCTGCTCTAGGCGTGGCGACGAACAGCGACCACTACTCCCTCCGGTGCGGATAACGTGTTAAAGGGAAAAGTGGTCGATGCAAAATGGCCGATGTCTATTTCTATTGATGAACAGTAGTGTATATATAAAGGCAGTTGCCTTGTCAATGACTGTGTGAAAAGGTGTCTATACGTGAAAATGTGCCTATCTATTATGTCTACATGGAACCGTCATTAGCAGTTGTTAATGACGAGATTAACAATTTGATCACTAAATAATTAATCCTAATTAATTAATCTGAACAGACACCATTCTCGGGCGGCGCTGGCGCTTGCGGCCAGCGAACTGGTCCAGTCCAACCATTTGATATGATCTGAGTTGAAATTCGTACAGTCAAGATGAAAGAGCCCTTTTGACCGTTGGAACGCACAGAGTAGAAAGAAAGAAAGCTAGCTGGTTCAGGGACGTGTGCGGGCCGAGGTTTTTTCTTTGTTGGCCCACGAACCAGCCCAACAAGGCAACAACTATGCTCTCCTGCCGCCCGCAGTCTGCACCGACCTGTTGCTCTCCACTCCAAGCAAAGATGGATTCCGGGTTCGGCCAACGACGGCGGTTCCCCGAGCGAGCGCCGCTGCGCTGCGCTTACCCCCGCTCGTACCGCCACGCCGCTGTGAGTACCTGGTTCTGAGTACTATTCTTTTCTAGGTTCTCTCTTGAGTTTCTTTGCATATGCTACCGACCTGCATCAGCCGCTCCTCTGCGATCCAGCACTAGGATCGCAAATGTGGCGGGCGGAGATGCAGAACGTTATGAAAGAGTTGGGGTAGGTTTGGCAATGCGCTTCGGTTCTGGTTTGGCGGAATCACTATAATCCGCAATACCAGCCTACCAGGCCTATAGTGAAGAACCTCAGTTTTAAATCCCATTCAGTTGACTGAACCGTAGCTTATTTTTCCTGCCTTCAGAACACACACATCAACGATAGCGAGAAACATGAAAGTGAGGTGGAGAGTGTAAAGCATCAATTTTCCCTTTCAGTCAACAATACGGTTATTAGCATCATTGGTGTTGGAACTGAGACCGAGCTCAGCTCCTGGATCAGCAACGGCGCCATCGGGGATCGGCGGTGACCGAGACAACTAAAACCCTTGGACACACACACGCGAACTGGAGAAGAACACACACGATGGTGCTGCCAACTGTCGCAGCTTTTTCCGCACTTTTAGATGGATACATGGGCTTGAAGCCCGAACACCCCGCCACCACGACGCCCGTTTCTTTCGGATTGCCATGGGACACGCAGCGCGCGACGTCGTGGCGGGGACAGACACTTGGCGGTCACAGCGTGGCCAGGGCACATCACCTGCCACCCGCTATTCTACGCCTAACAAATTAACTGCGGCACTAACAAAGTTCAACGGGATTACAAAACGTTCATGACTCAAAACTTAAACAGCCAACAATTGGTGTATAATTCAAGCTACAATACACGTTCACGTCATTACATTTGCTTCAGAAACCTGACAGCACAAATGTGCTATTTTTCTTTCTTGTTAGGCAATGCCAGGAACTGCAACCATTGAACTGTAGTTTGACTTGATCTTGTTTAACTTAACAACCACATCACTCATTGGGATCCTTTCATCAGGTGTAGCACTTGAACAAAGCAAGGCTAAATCAATTATGGACGCTAGGCAGGTACTCAAGATACTGAAGTTCTCAGGAGGTTTACTTGTGTCTTGAATACCATTATTAAGCTCCTTTTGTATGCTACTGTCAACGACATTTGTGAGCTGATATGGGAATGCTTGACTAACCCACTGCCTCAAGCTGATGTCACCGACAAACATTGAATCGATCGGCCTTTTCCTCATGAAGACTTCAAGGAGAACAATTCCATAGCTGTAAACATCACTGGCCCGTGATGCTTTTCCTGTTGATCCGAACTCTGTTCAATCCATGTCAGAAGAAAGCTGGTTAGCTTAAATAACTATAATAATACATTTAGTGTCATGCGTTGCAAGAGGAACTAAAAAAAATACCTGGAGCCATGTATCCTACAGTTCCGGGCATGCTTGTTAATGTGATGGAGTTGTCATCTCCAACTAGCAACTTGGAAATGCCGAAGTCAGAAACATGTGCAATCATGTCCTTGTCAAGCAAGATATTGCTTGGCTTTAAATCACAATGCAGGACAGCTTCAAAATGCTGGTGATGCAGATACTCCAGTGCCATTGCAACATCCAGCATGATGCCAACCCTTTGGAGGAAACTGAGTTGCCTCCCATTATTTGAGTACAACCAATCATCCAAACTACCATGAGGCATATACTCAAGAATTAGTGCTTTGAAGTCAAGATTGGAACAAGTGCTAATTATCTTCACCAGATTCCGATGCCGAGCCATTCGAAGTGCACTGCATTCTTTGTCAAAGCTCTTGGAAGCTGATTCGTGCTGCATGTTTAGTACCTTCACTGCTATCAAAGATCCATTATCTAGCTCACCTTTGAAGACCTTACCAAAGCTTCCTTCCCCTAGCAAATTATCATCGGTGAAGTTGCTGGTTGCACGAACAAGTTCATAGTATGAGATCACCTGATAGTTCTGCAAGTCTGTGTCTGAGGGTACTAGCATCTTTCTTTGGTTGTTCACCTTCATTCTTACCAACATATACAAGAACACAGCTAAAGCGAAAAATGCCAGTAATGAAGGTAGTAAAACTTTTATCAACAGGTTTTTTGGTCGCGACTGATTACTGGTGTTCTGGCACTGTGCTATACCTAGGCGAGGAAGGCCACACAGCGCATTGTTCCCCATCAATGATTTGAGTGTGATATTTGAGAACACTCCTCCTTCTGGTATCTGTCCATCCAATCTGTTAAAAGAAAGGTTCAAGTTGGCAAGGTAAGTGAGATTGGTCAAGGATTTTGGGATGGCACCAGAAAGTGCATTGGAGGATAGATCCAATTCCTCAATATTAAGCATATTGCCAAATGAACCAGGTATTGATCCTTGGAATAAATTTCTGGACAGATTGAGATATATCATCATGCGGAGTTCACTCAAGGAAACTGGGATGTCACCTGATAGCTTGTTTCCTGATAAATCCATCCCGGTAATTGCTGTTAATTTTCCAACATCAGCAGGCAGGAACCCACTTAAAGAGTTCTGTGACAAATCAAGCTCAATAAGGTTCTGAAGATCCCACAGACTTGTTGGTATGGTTGAAGACAATGAGTTTTGGGATAATGTCATAATTTGCAGCTGGCTTAGGCTATTGATATTGCTTGGAATGGGACCAGTTAGTTTATTGCTGTCAAGACGTAAATGAACTAGGTTTGTTAATCTACTGATTTCTTCTGGGATGGTGCCAGACAAGCTGTTGTGGGAGAGGTCCAATTCTTGGAGATTGCTCATTGCAGTGATTGGTGTAGGGATCTTCCCACTCAGGTTGTTTCCACCAAGATCCAGTTCTGATAAGCTGGTAAGGTTAGCCAATGTACCAGGGATGCTTCCATTGATGTTGTTGTTAGCTACTTGAAAAATTTCTAGCAGCGTGCTAAGGTTTCCAATTGAAGTTGGTAGCCTCCCTGTGAACTCATTGTTTGTTATGCCAATGGTAGTCAGGCTTCTGCAGTTGGATAATGCAGCTAGGAAATCTAGATTCCCAGAGAGATGGTTCTCATCAACAAAGATGCGACGGAGATTCAGCAAGTTGCTAAATGACATCGGCACTGATCCTGTCAATCTGTTTCCAAATAAGTCTATTTGGGTAAGGTTTGATAGATTGCCTATGGATTCTGGAATGACACCAGTTATTTGGTTGTTTGCAAGACCTAGAAACTGGAGGTTTCTCAACTGTCCCAGTTCTGGTGGAATCTCCCCATGTAGATTGTTTTCACTGAGGTCCAACACGAGAAGCAGGGTATGGTTGCTCAGCTCAACTGGGATCATTCCAGTCAGGTTATTCATTGACAAGGATATTGCAGTAAGGCTTGGAAGTGTTGCTAGCCATGACGACACAGAACCAGTGAAATTGTTCACAGCAACGTAGAGTTCGTCAAGGTTCTTACATGCAGAGAGTCCTAAAGGGATTGGCCCGTTGAAATGGTTTTCTTGGAGAATCAGCACTTGCAGCATAGGGAGGTGAAAGCTCTCATTTCCAGGAATGGGACCTGAGAGATTGTTTCGTCCGACAGATAGTACTTGAAGCTGCGAAATATTAAACAAAGAAGGTGGCATGGAGCCTGAGAGAAGATTTTTTTCTAGGACAAGCACCTCCAGCTTTAGTAATGAGCTGACACTATCAGGAATTGCTCCTGTCAACCTATTCGAGCCAAGATGTATTTCACTCAAATTGGGTGTGCTGTTGAACAGGCTCTGCGGAATTGGTCCGCTTAGATCATTATGTTGCAATCTTAACGAACGAAGGCTGTGCAAATTTTGCAATTCATGTTGAATCCCCCCAAAGAAGTTATTGTAAGCAAGATCAAGAATCTCAAGCCTAGTGGTGTTGCCAAGGTTGCGAGGGATGGTACCTGACAAGCTGTTCTGTGATAGATCAAGAGTTTGAAGCCAGGGCAGACTGCCAAGCTCGTTTGGCGCGGGACCCATGATGCTGGTGTTGCTGAGGACAAGGGTCGAGAGGAAAGAGAGATTACCAAGCTGTGGCGTGATGCTGCCCTGGAGCGGCATGTTGCTGAACTCAAGGCCAGTGACGCGCTGCCTGCTGTCACAAGAGACCCCCGCCCACGAGCAGAATGCTGCAGTAGCAGTCCAGTTGCTGGCAAGGATACCAAGGGGGTCCTTGAGCATTGCTTTGAAGGCGAGCAGTGCAGCAAGGTCTGTGGCATTGGATGGTGGTGGGGTGAGTGCGGTGGCGCATGCTGCGGCGACGGCGAGTAAGATGAGTACCATGCGGACGCGGATGCGGATGAAGAAGAAAGAGACCATTTTGGTGAGAGTCGTCTATTAGTGATGGACATAATATGGATGTCACTTGGCTGCTCTTATAAGCAGCTTTGGACGTGCAATTGGCTCCAGTGGTTGGAAACGTTAAGCGATCTGAAGCCAACTTGTTGAATATGGTCAGGACGCTGGTTCCTTTTCTTACTCACACGCTGTTGCTTCTTGGAAATAATGACAACTTTCTTCTTCGAAGAAACTGCTTTCAGACATACCGTGCCAACTAGCAAGCAACTTGTGCTAAATTAAGCCTCTTTATTCTACCCCCACATTGGATATATGGGTTTGGTACAAAGAAATCCATGTGTGGACGTTAGTTGGGGGAGTTTTTTTTCATTTACAAACTAACTTTATTTTCAGCGGAAAACCACTTTATTGCGTTTTCTGTCGACAGATGCTGCTGCTAGTACAAGATATGGGTAAGTAACATAACAGGAACAGGCCGGGGCCAAGAAACCATGTACGGCTCCTAAAATTTGGCGTCTGAAGCAAGGACTGGAGGGATCAATTTGAGATCGTTCGGCATGTAGCCTGATAGGCTTGCACGCGTCTAGATTCATGCACACTAGCACACCATCCCACTCCCACATCACGAATCTAGCGTTTCTCCCCCGTTCGGTGCCCCACGGAGGATCAGCGACCACACCTCCGAGGAGCAAAATGATCAGCAGTTTCGCTCTCCTGATCACACAAACCGCGGCAGTCGTTATCCTGCAGACCGTGGCGACGCCGTCGTTCTACCGTCCACGTGTGGCCATGAAGGCGCCTAACCAAAAAAGGAATTTCACTCTCGGCAGCGACGCCGTGCACCATAGATCCTTTGCCCCTGACAGGAAACTTGATCCCTCAAGGCCTCAAAGGGGGCTTAATCACGCGGTAGACTTAGTCGCCAGTCGCCACTTGCCCACTTTAAAAGTCTTTGTGTGTTGGACACTGGAGTTGACGCCTCGGTCGTCCACGTTCAAGCAGAGATCCGGTTTCTCTGCGAATACAGTGCGACCATATATATATCTTCTCAAACGTGATTGAACACAGCGCTACCTCTTTGCTCGCCATGCCTCTCCTACCTTGTCTCCTCCTCCTCTTCCTGTGCGTTCATGCCCCTGCCTCCCATGCCATCCTCATTCCTCCGCTCCCGACCACCTATGACGGTTCGATTTGCTCGCAGTCGTTCATGTGCGGCGGCGTCAATATCAGCTATCCCTTCTACCTTCCCAACGCAACCAGAGAGACCGCCGATTACGGATACAGCTACTCCTGCGGCTACACCGACCTGTTGATTTCCTGCCAAGGCGAGGCGCCGACCGAGACCCCGGTCATCACTCTCGGCGGCGACAACTACGCCGTTCAGAACATCTTCTACGACACCCACACCATCATTCTGGTGGACAGCGATGTGCTCGTCGGCAGCAGCTGCCCTGCAGTCCGCCATGAAGTCAGCTTCAACGAGAGCTGGCTGCACAACAGCAGCTCCAGCGGCAAGCTCACCTTCTTCTACGGCTGCTACCCACGCGGTCCCGTGCCGCAACAATTTGACGCTTACAAAATCAAATGCGCGGGGTTCAAGAGCCCGCCAGGTGTTGGCGCAGGAGACTCCTTCGTGCTCATGACTGATGAGCAAGAACTGCCTACGAACTGCAGCGAGGTTGTCACCGTGCCATTGAGAAGCGATGTTCTGATGGCAGCAAGTAATAACCAGAGCAACTTCACAAGCGGCGGATACGGAGACGTGCTCAAGCGTGGGTTCGAGTTGGAATGGAGCCGTATCACAGAGGATGGGTGTCACCTGTGCGAGGAGTCGAACGGGCAATGCGCCTATATCCAGAATAGGGTATTCCGGGGCTGCTTGTGCCACGGAGGGAAGGCGGGCAACCCGTACTGCAAACACATCGCATCAAGTAAGCCCTTAAACCTACTGAAAGATTTATTTCCGTCTAAAAACAAATTCTGCTCCGTCTGCACAGCCAACCATTTCACTCGGCGATTCCAGTATTCCACGCCTGTGTGTCTTTCTATTGAGGCTTCGCTTCAAACTAAAATGAGTTTCATGATTTGGTTTCCTATTCACAAACAAAAAACGAAGAACTCAAAGCTCTTAAATTTTCAGAAGAATCGAAGACAATGAGCACGTTGGTTTTGCATAGGACACCATGAATTGACTAAAATTAGGCTCTCATCACCAGCACATTACGAATCCACTACTTAGTCAAGCTTTCATCATTTCGCCAATCAAGTGACCTGGCACTGAGAACACCTGATCAACCGCCAATCAAGTAGACTCTCACGACTGCCAGGAACCTCAATTATGATGGAAATTATTCTCAATGACCATACAAACGTTTTCAAGGTATAATGAAGCAAAACTTGTCGGCCCATCTGTCTCGCTAAGTACTCCCTCCGTCCAAAAAATAAAATAAAAATCTCGCTTCCTCATATGAGTCAAACAATTCCAATTTTAACAAAAAATATATAAAATATTATTTATGATACGTAATAAGTATCACTAAATTAATCATGAAATATATAAACCTATTTGAAGATACAATTTCTCATATTTGTGCTTTGTGTTTCTGTTTGACGTAAATCTTGCTCAAATCTAACATTGTCTTTTGTTCGTTGGCATACAGGATCAAAAGGGAAAACAACAATTATTGCTGGTAAGCACTACGCAGCCTATAGCCAGTACCCATCTTCATGCATTTAGTCTAAAAAGAGCAGAAGAAAAGCATATAATGAATTATTGGCATGTCATGTTTGAAAATCCATAATTCTCAAAAAAATGACAACAATGTAGATAAATTTCATCCTCCCTTTGGGCAATAATCTGATGAGTTTCTTCACTGACTAGTGGTGCATTTTTCTTTGCAAATTGAATTTTTAGAATGCTTTGTAGTTGAATTCGCTTGTGATGCTTTTGTGATGCAGGTATTGTTGCAGGCATGTTATTCATGTGTCTAGTAATTCTCATATTCTTCTCGGCTTGTAAATATGGTTGGCTCCCCCTCAAATCGAAGGACGAACCAAGGATTGAGTCATTTCTACAAAAGAATGGGAACCTATATCCGAAAAGATACACTTATGCAGATGTTAAAAGAATGACGAAATCCTTTGCTGTGAAGCTAGGCCAAGATGGATTTGGTGTTGTATACAGAGGCAACCTCCAAGATGGCCGCCAGGTAGCGGTTAAGATGCTAAAGGACACCAAAGGTGATGGTGAGGAATTTATGAACGAGGTGGCTAGTATTAGCAGAACTTCTCATGTCAATGTTGTGACACTTTTAGGATTTTGCTTGCAAGGATCTAAAAGGGCACTTATTTACGAGTACATGCCTAATGGTTCACTTGAAAGGTATGCCTTCAATAGCAACATGATTAGTGAAAATTTACTAAGTTGGGAGAAATTATTTGACATAGCAATTGGCACGGCTAGAGGACTTGAATATCTCCACTGGGGATGCAATACTCGGATCGTGCATTTTGACATCAAACCACATAACATCCTATTAGATCAGGATTTCTGTCCTAAGATCTCTGACTTTGGATTGGCCAAGCTATGGTTAAATAAAGAGAGTGCTATCTCCATTGCTGGCGCAAGAGGGACAATAGGTTATATTGCCCCAGAGGTTTACTCAAAGCAATTCGGAATAGTAAGTAGCAAGTCAGATGTGTATAGTTATGGAATGATGGTCCTTGAGATGGTTGGAGCAAGGGACAAGAATACAAGTGAAAATAGTGAATCTAGTAGCCAATATTTCCCTCAGTGGATTTATGAACATTTGGACGACTACTGTATCAGTGCTTCTGAGATTGATGGTGAGACCACAGAGCTTGTGAGAAAGATGATAGTTGTAGGTTTGTGGTGCATACAAGTGATTTCAACTAATCAGCCAACAATGACTAGAGTCGTCGAGATGCTAGAAGGAAGCACAAGTAATCTGGAATTGCCACCCAAAGTTCTCTTGAGCTGACGAGCGTAGATATCTTCCTAATAAATGTTGCTAGCGTTACCAGGTTGCACAAATGCAAATGTTTGTTATATCTATGCAGAACTAAATGAATGCACCGAATGATATTTTTTGGTCTGTAAACATAGATGTAACTATTTTAGGAATTTCTTGACAGGGGTTCTCATAGCCTCATACTACACTATATGATGGTATACTTTGTTCAGACTAGCTGCAAGCACTGATTCTCTTCTTTCTATTTGTACACTAAAATCTATGGACAGATGCATTACAAATTCAGTAGGCGGGCTGGGTTTAAAATTTAAATCGCGATGGAATACATTACACAATTAAAATTGAGACTAAACTTTTCATTCTAATTCAGATCAGAATTGCGACACCCAAATTCCTGAAAATACTTGAACTGTGAACTAGAGATTAGTAGTAGTAGGTATTAAGAGTCAACTTACCAAAGTCAGAGTTCTCTAACGATGTGGTCATAAGCTGAGATCTCGGCTGGCTGTCCGCACTCATCACTCATCAGTGACACTCTGCCATAGCGGTGCCGCCTGCCGGCCTGCGTCCATGTTTGCCTCCGTTTGAGTCAATGGCTCAATGCCCGGGTAGCTTCCTAACAGATGGCCGCGCTCGCTGTCTCCAGACTCAAGAGCCACTAATTTCCACACGGACCGCGGTGTCGGTCGCTAGAGGAGCCTCTATTATATTGTATCTGTATGACAAAAGTCCCTCGACTGCACGTGGAAATTTCACTATCTCGGCTGACGCTTCGCTGGTCTCTAGCGGTGACTAGTCACCGTGTTAGGACATTTTGCAGCACAGCGCGAGAAAAGGCATGCCACAGGTGCAGTTTTTTCTAATTCTGGTTTGGCGTATCTTGACTTCCTACTAGAGTTTAATCCATTATTCCATTTTCGATAGAACTTTCTGTCACCACGAAAGTTAGTCCAGCAGATAGGTTTATGAGCCAAGACGCACGGTTTCATGACATGTTGGATACTATTCTACGGTTCAAACCAAACCTTTTCATGGGCTGTCTCTGGTTGTGCTGACCAAACTTCTTCCAGTCCCACTTAGCTTCTTTTCCTCACTTGTACATGGTGTGCAGCACACAAGCAGAATCCCCAGACATGGAGTAGTTTGTAAGGAGGGGCCAGCGTCAAGCGACAAACACAAACGCCTTGGGAGCCACCAGCTTTACCATAGGCCATGGTGGGTCTCCTGCTGCTACGCCACCGTCGTCTGCAGCTGCCGCTCCTCGTTGCCATCTTGTTCGCTGCTTCCCGCGGTGATCCTTCCAGCGGCGATTACAACACCTCCATATGCAAGCTGCAGCCGTACACATGCGGCAAACTGAATATCAGTTACCCGTGTTAGCTTTCTTAGGACTCAATCGAGTCAAGTTCACTAGATCGGTTATATAGAATAGAAATACATGTTCAAGCTTCACAGTATATACACAAAACCTAATGCATGAACTACAGAGATATAAAAGGAAGAAGAGGGGTAGGTGGAATAGGAAGTCACAGACCATCGAAGACCCAGAGTGGTCAAGTTGACGTTCGGTGGAGAGAGAGTGGTGAAGTGGCGTCCTTGGCGGCGGCGTGTGCGCGGCGTCGGTGGTGCTTCCGTCATTGGCGGACACCCTTCTTAAGATCGGGTTAGGACGCCATCGGTGTAGCTCGAGCCCGGCCCCACCTTTCCTTTGGCGCTTGAAGCTGTTGGCAAAGGTCCTTGTTGGTTTTGGTAATTGGTCGGTGGAAATTGAGTTTATGAGAGATCGGTGTCCAGGTGGTGTGTATGAGCAACGGTGAAAATGGCTTGGAGATGTTGCAAAGCTCAGAGCCTTGATGATGCGGCGGCATGAGACATGACATTGAGCATGTGATCAAGGTGGGAAGATCAAGACAAGACTTGCGATTGCAAGCGTCGGTGGTGCTTTTCCCGTGGCATTGTGAAGCTTGAGCAAGACCCTTCTTAAGATCGGGTTAGGGTTAAGATATCGGTTGTTGGTGATGTGCATGTGTTACATCGACATTGGAGGAGATGGTGAACCTCGTATTACTATCAAGAGGGGCAAACTTGTTTGCATATCGGTCATCTAGTGCCACTTGAGTGATCTAACTTTGAGTGGCGTGGCAAGTTGAGTGGCTAACATCCCTAACACCCCACCGAGGGTGAGATTGAGGTTAGCATCGAGAAGCTTTTATGCTAAGGATCTGGCGGTCAAAGTTAGCACGGGGTTAGGTGAAGAAGTTAGAAGTGAGCAAGTGGCGGTGCGTCGGAATGACCATCAAGGCCCAACCAACCATGTAGGGTTCTGAAGGCGTTGGCGTCGATGCGAGCTAACCCATGATGATGACGAGAACAAGGCCCAAAGGCCGTTGGGCCTAATGGCGTCCGGTCATGGAGATCAATCCAACATTCTCCCCCTTGATCTCTCATCACTTTCTTCGTTCTTTAATTCTTACTCAAACTTTCGATTCATATTTTTCTTGCTTCCATCCTATTTCATCACAGATTAGTACATAGAACTGTCCTATCGTCATAGCAATTAATGCCGATAGACTAACAGCCACAATACACTTCTCCGTTTTGAAATGTAAACTTTCTTTGGGCCCTTCGTATGTTCGGGAATCATAGGCTTTTCCTTAAACCCATGCGCTTTGTGAGCGATTAGCACGTGTTCTCTAAACACGTTGGGTGATAAGCCCTTTGTGAGCAGATCCGCGAGCATTTTCTCTGTACTTATATGCTCAAGATTTATTATATGATCCCGAACTTTATCTTTCACAACATAGTACTTTATGTCAATGTGTTTGGCAGCACCACTTGACCTATTGTTGTGAGCATACTGTACTGCTGGGTTGTTATCACAATACAACCTCAGTGGTTCATTTATATTATCAATCATTTTCAATCCGGTATGAATTTCTTCACCAATTCACCTTCTGCGACGGGGCCCACCAACCATGTTGCCTCATAGCATGCTACAAACTCGGCATACATTATCGAGGATGTAGTTATCGGTTTGTTTGGAGCTTTTCCACGATATAGCCCCTCAGATTAGCGAGAGTAAATACATATCCCGACGTGGATTTTCTTTCTTCTCCGCATAATCAGAATCTAGAATACCCTCTCTCTGAACACGCAGGGAATCGGATCTTCTATATGTAAGCATGAGGCCTTGTGTTTGGCGCAAATAACGCAGAACTTTCTTCACTAATTTTCAATGTTCAATTTTCAATCGGATTCTTTTGATATCCGCCAAGTAACCCGGTAACAAAAGCTAAGTCGTACGTATAGTACACACTTGAGCATATTGTAAACTTCCAACAAACTTTCTTCACTTGAAGCATACGGTACCGCTTTACCGCTTTCATTCGGTCAATTTCATATTGGTTCTTGGGACATTGATGTTCCCCAAATCTATCGCCCTTGACTATAGGAGCGGTGAAGGAGGATGACGCATGCATACTAAATTTCTTCAGGACCTTTTCTATGTATGCCTTTTGCGATAATCCTAGAACCCCCTTTCTTCTGTCTCGGTGAATCTCTATTCCCAAAACGAACGAGGCATCACCGAGATCTTTCATATCAAAGTTTGAGGACAAGAATTTCTTCGTTTCCATTAGTAGATTGATATCACTACTAGCAAGCAAGATATCATCCACATACTAAATTAGGAATATGTGCTTTCCATTCTTGGACTTTGCATAAACGTAATTGTTCTCAACATTTTCTTTAAACCCAAAACCTTTTATCGTTCTATCAAACTTCAAATACCACTGTCTTGAAGCTTGCTTCAATCCGTAGATTGATTTCTTCAGGCGGCATCCCATATTTTCCTTTCCTTTTACGACAAAACCTTTCGGTTGTGCCATATAAACATTTTCTTCCAAATCCCCGTTTAGGAAAGCCGTCTTTATATCCATTTGATGTAACTCCAAATCATAGTGGGCTACAAGTGCCATTATAATTCTGAAGGAATCTTTACATGAGACTGGAGAAAACGTCTCATTGTAATCAATCCCTTGTCATTGCGTGAAGCCTTTCGCCACAAGTCGTGCTTTAAATCTTTCTATATTCCCTTAGGAGTCATATTTCGTTTTGTAGACCCATTTATAGCCTACTGTTTTGGCTCCTTTAGGAATATTTTCTAAGTCCCAAACTTTATTGGTACTCATTGATTTCAATTCATCTTCCATGGCCTTAAGCCACTTTGATGAGTGGTCGCTTCTCATGGCTTCTTCAAATGAGGTGGGATCATCCCCCATCTGAAATTCTTCTGTTTCATAAACTTCATAGTCATCAGTAATAGCTGATCTTCTTATTCTTTGAGACCTTCTAGGTGCCTCCGGTACTTGTTCCACATTGGGCTGTTGTTGTTCTTCCTCATGTGCAACATTTGGTTCTATAGATTCCTCAAGGATAGGTTCCTCAAGGACAGGTTCCTCATATTCATTTATTGTCGCCACGGGAGAACTTGCAACAGGTGTTGGCACTACAGTGTCCTGCACTGTCGGTGCAACAGCAGCAGGTAGCGTGAAGAATGGTTCTTCAACCATCGGAGTGGGTACATGTACCTGCTTCTCCTATAGGCTGATTTCTCGTGCTACCATGCTCCCCCTGATCATGTTATCCTCCAAGAACACAGCGTGCCTTGTTTCTACAATCTTCGTATGTCTGTCAGGACAATAGAAGCGATATCCTTTTGATCTTTCTGGATAGTCAATAAAATGGCAGCTGACTGTCTTGAAGTCTAACTTTCCTATGTTTGGGTTAAACACTTTTGCCTCAGCCGGACAGCCCCACACACGCAAATGGTTAAGTGAGGGTTCCCTTCCTGTCCATAATTCATACGGTGTTTTAGGCACCGATTTACTTGATACTCGATTAAGTATGTGAATGGCGGTTTTCAGTGTCTCCATCCATAAATTAATCGGTAATGTGGAGTAACTCATCATGCTTCTTACCATATCCATTAAGGTACGGTTACGTTTTTT